CTTTTTGACAAGTAAAAAAAAACATGCAACCCATACATATGTATATGGATATCACCATTCTGTTTTCAGGGAGAACTGAATGTCAGTGTCAGCTTTTTGGCTCCGTTTGCCAATGTGAAAGGATGTTCATTTGGTCCCAAACAGAAATAACACAGAAATAATAAGGAAAATGTGAAAAAATGTGCAAACTGTTGAACTAACATTTTGATGGGAAAGAATAAAGCACCCAAAGTGTTAAACCACTGCATAGTTGAAGAGATATTTTATTATTCAAAACACATTTCAAACTGAATCAAAATAACAAATATTTTGAAAAAAATAAATAAAAAAACGCCTACAAGATAAAGCATATAAAATTGTTAGGTAGCACGGCATACAGGTGATATTGCTTTTACTAAAAATTGAATCATGGGGAAATCATGCAGGACAAGTATATTCTATATTAAACCCCTAAATACCAGTGGAACTGTCCAATTCCTAATGAGTGGGTTCTACCATGTACAAATAATGGGGGTACTAGCCTATAGATTGGGAGATATACAGGGTACTTATAACTGTAGGGACATGCTGCAAGATTTATGTACATGTTATCACAGTACATTTTCTGTAAGTCTAATGTCATTTTCAGAGGTTTGATGCTTTCATTGAATATAGAAAAAAGGATGAGAGCTGAAATGAAACATGGTCACATGCATCATCAACTCTATTGAACTTAGCTTAAATCGTATGCTACGTTCAAGTTATGGGATCTTGAAATTTTTAATCCTTTGTGTTTGCAGAAGGATTACAGCAGTTGTGTTCATGTTAGTCGGGATCTACTTGAGACCCACTCGGCTCGTGCCGAAATCATGCCCTCATTCTTCGATCAGTTATTTGATCCAAACATGGAAAACGATACGCATATGATGATAATAATAACTGCTATATTGAAATTATATCCATTTGCTGTTATGGTATTTATTACAAGTCGTCGTGCACATACACGGCAAAGAATATTTGAAAAAAAGAATATATTTCACATAGATGTCGTTTTGCAAGACAAAACCTGTTGCCGCAGCAAATAACTATGCGTTGCTGACAATGTTCTGCATTCATTTCATTCATTACTCCATGTATAGCATCCAACCATATTAAGCTGCACTTCCCAATATTGTCATCTTATACTAGTACATATAGACAATACATTAAGTATGCTATACTTGAGTTATCTTGGACACAAGAAACTGTTGTTGATGACGATGACGACGACGACGACGACGACTACGATGACGCCAGTCAGACAAGCTAACTTCTATACTTTCCCATTCATTTCATTACAGGCAAAAAAATTATAATGATATTAACTCTTGCCATATATCAACATTTCAAACATGTACCTTACAATAATTTGAATGCTATCGTTTTACAATTTACGAATCAAAGCATCAAACCTCTTCAAGAAACAAGTTAGACAAGGTGTGAATGGGCCACCACCAGAACACCACACTCGTAGACAAGTTGGAGAATTCCAGAAAATTGTTCATGTAAGGAAGGGGTCTAAAAACTAACTCTGCGGTGTGATAGTACGACTCGCCGAATGTTGATTATTGCACTCTGGGGATAGGGTTACAGTGTCACTCTGCGAAACGGCTTATTTTGATTGGAAGACCACTTGTCACAGTGTAATCATGTGTGGATGCGATATGCATGTATTGTTCATATTGATATCAGTTCTCAACATTTTGGAAACCACTTTATTCTGAATTTTGAGTTGATCCGAGTCAACATTTAATTTTCGTGGGTTTGAGCTGTCCAAGCCTTTCGCGGTGTTTAAATCTTGTGGATTGTCGAAAAATAAAACAAAGGGTCACACCACATGGAGCAGTGAGAAAATAAATCAATATTTGCATGAATTTGTGTATCATTTATCCATTGGAAATGTGTGACAGTGGGACAACTGGAAGTACTGTACTGAGAGAATTTTCATTGTTATTCACCTTCTCCTTTGTCGTGATGAAAACACTGGGAAATTGCTGTGTTTTCAAAATGTGATAGACCGGGAAATCATATATTTAGCTTCATGGACAGTGAAACTGCAGGTTTACACTTTGTAACTTCTACAGATTGTGGATAGAGACACTGTAAGATATGGCATCAAATGGCCTGACTACAGAAGTGGTCGACGGTCATTCCAGGTTGGTTTTTGTCACATGCACATTCACAGTGCATGTAATGATATTGTCTTTTTTGAATAAGTCGATTATAACCTTGTTCTGTTTGTTTCAAACTTACCCAAGGTCAGAAATACATGGAAGTGCCACGCTGTTCTCTAATTCTATTTATCAGAATAAACTAAAGTTTTAACGACACATGTGAAAAACTCGTACAGGATCACATATCAGAAAGTTGCATACCCTAATATATTTAATACCTTCTAATAATGCAATTTTAAATGAAAATGTGAAATGAGAATAAATATTCATTCTCAATTAAATTTTGTGAAAATTCTGGAATTCTCCAACAACTCTGAAAGCAGTTTCAATAATTTTTTATAAACATAACCATTTTGCAGACTTGCAGCTAAGGGTCATGTCACTTACCAAACAATGATTCTTCTGCATATTCAAGTTCTAGTCCGTAAACAAAATAAATAAATGCAAACATTTTCAAATCTCAAGACACAAAATACAAGCATGACAGACTTCAAGGCCATGCATATATTCTAATGAATCACTGAGCACTACTAATAATAGGTGGACAGCTAACACATTTAACACCAGTTAGTTTCAGAGCTGGTCAGCTAACTCAAGTGAGGTTTCAGAGCTGGTCAGCTAACTCTCATGTTAGAGGTTGTCAGTTGACTACAGTGAGTTTCAGAGCTGGTCAGCTAACTCAAGTGAGGTTTCAGAGCTGGTCAGCTAACTCAAGTGAGGTTTCAGAGCTGGTCAGCTAACTCAAGTGGGATTTCAGAGCTGGTCATCTAACTCTTGTGTTAAAGGTTGTCAGTTGACTCAAGTGAGTTTCAGAGCTGGTCAGCTAACTCTAGTGTTAGAGGTTGTCAGTTGACTCCAGTGAGTTTCAGAGCTGGTCAGCTAACTCTAGTGTTAGAGGTTGTCAGTTGACTCAAGTGAGTTTCAGAGCTGGTCAGCTAACTCTAGTATTAGAGGTTGTCAGTTGACTCAAGTGAGTTTCAGAGCTGGTCAGCCAACTCTAGTGTTAGAGGTTGTCAGTTGACTCAAGTGAGTTTCAGAACTGGTCAGCCAACTCTAGTGTTAGAGGTTGTCAGTTGACTCAAGTGAGTTTCATAGCTGGTCAGCCAACTCTAGTGTTAGAGGTTGTCAGTTGACTCAAGTGAGTTTCAGAGCTGGTCAGCTAACTCCAGTGTTAGAGGTTGTCAGTTGACTCAAGTGAGTTTTAGAGCTGGTCAGCTAACTCTAGTGTTAGAGGTTGTCAGTTGACTCAAGTGAGTTTTAGAGCTGGTCAGCCAACTCTAGTGTTCGAGGTTGTCAGTTGACTCAAGTGAGTTTCAGAGCTGGTCAGCTAACTCTAGTGTTAGAAGTTGTCAGTTGACTCAAGTGAGTTTTAGAGCTGGTCAGCTAACTCCAGCATGTGTAAATCATGCAAGCAAAAGGGATTCTCTGTTGTTCATCGGGAATAAGACCTCTAAAATTGTTTTTTTTTTTAATTAGAAAGAATAAACCTAGAAAACAATACATGTACAAATGAACATGTTGCTCATCGTGAACTCAGAAAAAAAATTACAAATCATTCCACCCCTTTAATTCAAACCAAGCAACCCCTAGCACACCTATGGGAACACAAATATTCAGTATTAGGTATATGTATACATGTATTGAACATATTTAACCCTTTGAGCACCAAAATCAATTTTTGTCACTATTCAAAATAATAAATATTTTTTTCAGTTTTTCCCTAAAATTTTGATCACGACCTGCAGCTATTAGAAAATAATTTCCATTTTGTTTCAAAAATTATCAAAAGAATTATAGAAAAATACTTAAAATAGACAAAATGGAGCATCAAAATGCGGGCAGGAAAAATATGGTACCCAGTTATAATATATGGGTGATACAAATTATACTAGGGGGGTGTCCAGCTCCTATATTATTATTTAAAATTAACTTGCAATAACAATGAATTAAAAAAATTCTAACTATTTAGATTGCATAACATTCACATGTTTAATTTGCATAACATTTACATATTTGATTTGCATTTGATTTGTGTTATCCATCAGTTTTAAAAATAAGACTTAGTGATACTTTACCTGAATGCTTAATTCCTGTTATATTTTTTGTGATGAAGGTGTTGAAGAACTAGAAAAAAACACAAAAAAATCAGTTAATTAAAAAAAGGCATTGGAATATCAATCCTTCAGTACTTTTCCTACATGGAGGTAGGTAACAATTATGTTCGACAACATATTACATATCAAACATGTGACCACCAACCAACCAATCATAGAAAAGGTTACAAACCAGACTTTTGTGGAAATAAAGCATACATGTATAAACATCAAGATCAGTCACAAAATTAAAAATAATTGCATTACATAGTCACTGTGAGTTCTCAAGTTTAAGAAATATAAAAAGTTTCAACATGAACTGTACGAGATGTGGCTTCACTTAAATACATTTAATACACTTAAACAAAATGGACACCAGTCGGCCTTTTTGAGTCTGATCAGACAAACAAAGCGACATGCATAAGGGTCCTATAAAACAGAACAAAATCTGTCTATGCTATGATTTAGATGGATTTTTAACATTGAAACAACTGCATATTAAATACATGATGTATATGCAGTGTTTGAACATGATCATTCAAGAAATGTCAGAACTGCATTCACCAAAACAAAATGGCCACCAGTCTGTCATTTACAATTCGTTCTGAAAAACAAAAAGACAGGCATGGGGGTTCCATATTGTCCAATGTTGTACCATATTTGAATGAAATCCATCCATACATAACCGAGATTTGGTTCTGGAATGACAGAAATATTTGATTTCAATGAATCAAAAATGGCTGCCATTCAAGCCATCTAAAATTGAATAATGAAACGAATGGACGTGCATGTGCAGCCACAGATATGTGATATTTGTGAAGTTTGAATCTAATCCAACAAGACAAGTCCGAGTTACAGATGGAGACGCATAGACGTACATGTGTATGCATCAGATAAACAAATACATGTATATACACACACACAGAGGTCAAAACATAAATTCCCTGTTGTTTGATTGCATTTGAACAGGTTTTAGTGAAATACCTGCTGATACCATTCTTTTCTCATTCACTGCAGTTATCCTTTCAATGTGTGAAAAATACATGTTTTTTGAACATTACATTATATAAATGTACATATAGTTGCGTAAAACACGTTGCTAAGGTTAAAATAACTAGCCCATTCATCACATTGGTACAAGTAGTATACTGAAATTACGGGTATTTATAATAATACCTGTAAAGCTAGTTGCTACATGATTCTACATGAATTAAAATTATTATACATGTCAGGCAAACACTCTGTATGTTTACTAATCTCGTTATAACTATAGGAACGACAACAAACATTGATCAGCTGAGTCTAATTAACAACACGTTCCTCCAGGGTCCGCGTTGCTACATTGTATGAAAGTATACGTCCACGAGCATTATTACAAACCACGCTGTAATCGCTTTAATTTTAAAAGATTTTCATGAATTTCACGATGTCAAGAATAGTTGGGAAATGTTTAGAGAAGTGAATATTTCACTCGAGTACTAGGGAGTTACTGAGAATGTTAGTAGAGTCCTATAAAAGAAATCAAATACTAGTAGTAGACAAATAATGCATTGCATTTCAACTACTGTAAAACATATCTTTTTCACAAGCATGTCTTTTTAGCGAATTTAGCGAGAGAACCGATGTCGCTAATGTTTTTATTATAAATCCAAATGCGTCCTGTGACCCGCAAGTGATCCTTTGTCATTGGTAATTAACATAAAATGGCGTGCTTTTTGTAAGTCTGCGACCACCACTGTCGTCCTAGATATTTGACTTTTTTTCTCTTATGGTGAGATAATAACACCATCGATTTGTTTCATTCTACATTGTGTAAGTTACAAATGTAGATGTGTGTTTGTGTACCACTACTGCTTTTCATAGGTTTCACTGACCGCGTCTCGTGATCCTTTGTCGTTGGTAATTAACATAAAATGGGGGGCTTTTTGTAAGTCTGCGTCCACTACTGTCGCCCTGGGAATTCGACTTTTTTTCAGATGCGTGTTTGTGTACCACTACTGCTTTCCTTGGGCTTCGGTTATTATTTCCTATCTCTGATCTTTATTTTTAAACCTAGAAGCAGCCTATCTCTGATCTTTATTTTTAAACCTAAAAGCAGCCTATCTCTGATCTTTATTTTTAAACCTAGAAGCAGCCTATCTCTGGTCTTTATTTTTAAACCTAAAAGCAGCCTGTAAAATAAAACAAAGACAGCATGTTACTAATTGGCCTGTCACTCAACCACATCATGCTAACTATCCCGCAGCCACCTCCCCCACACCTAAATGGTATAGTCCGACACGCAAGTTATGGGCAATTCAATTGACCACATCCTCAAAATGGCCAAGGTTTGGGGATTTGTATACAGTAATCCGGAATATAAAAATCTGGGGCGCTTCCTAATTACACTTGACAGTTTTTCATTGTTTTTATGGAGGTGATAACTGTGCATTTGTTTCGGCATGTGACAGACAAGTATTGTGAAAACAGGAAATCAACAATGACAAGAGAGATTCGCTAAATCAACACTTTGCTATTACGTCATTTTACCAAAATTGCATGTCGCTTTTTCAACATGTTTTCCAGTATACAGTATACACATATAAGTACACCGCTAAAGGTAGCGACACAATATGACAGCTGTTGTTACTAGGACTATAATGCTATTAGGAGTGTCTAATAAAGTCATCGTAGTCAGTGTATGGTCTGTGTTTTATTGGTGATTAGGAGCAGACCATTATAATCTGGGGTGAGGCGATGACAGAAAACTGTAAACATTTCTTTTTTCTAAGATGTGTTCACATAATTTTGTGTAATAATGAGATTTTTTTTTCATTTATATACTGAAAAGTATATTTTTTTGGTGTTTTGTATGAAATTTATTTTCACCGATTTTTGACAAATTGAATGTAAAATATAGAAAAAAAGGTATATTCCATGGATTTTATTTTCACTGAACCATTCCTTCAGCGAAAATAGCGAAAATAATTCCAAGCAAAAATATTTTCACAATATCTTTTTTCAGCAAATTTGTTTTCCATCCAAAACACTTCACCCCCGAGTTTCTAATGGTTTTGTCCTTAGGATATTTGGTTCTCCTATTGAGCGAGTGGCACAGACTGAGACTGCATGTGTTTCTATCACACTAGAATAAAAGCACACTATCATGACTGACCAACAAACAATAATTATAATCCTGTGGTTAAATGAGCACTGATACTGCAACCAGAGATAACATATGGCAGTCATGGCAACATTGTCAATATATACACCGACACCTTGTATGCATCTCTGCAACATTTCTTGAAATCACAGTGAACAGTGTATTTATAATAAAGTTCAATGAAATAAGAATTTCTTTTATCCAAGTTTTTTTTTTATTTTAATACCCTGGCAATTAAAATGTATATACCGTATTGTACAATTATCAATTTTCCCTGACACAAGAAGCAAAACTATTTGAAAAATTATTCTATTTATTATTCTATTTTGAAATCATTATCACATGTCCTAATATCCACATGCACAAAATATGTTTTGAAGAAATTATCTGTATGTACGTTTTGTGAATATCAATAAGAACTATAAAACAATAGCAGGCATAATTCACTCCTACATGTGCTGTAAAATACTGGTTTTCAGCTGAAATTGATTTTCGCTGAAAAGACTTTTTGGGTGTTTTGTTTAGAATTAATTTTCACTGATTTCTGACGAGTTGAATGTAAAATATAAGCAAAAAAGGTATATTCACTGTATTTTATTTGCACTGAATCATTCCTTCAGCAAAAATTAATTCCAAGCAAAAATAAAATATTTTATAGTATTACCTTGATTGTGGGATATCCACCAATGTCATAGTCTCTACACACATGAAGATTGGGTTCCAGGGAACAATCCATAGCTGCGATATTAATGACATCATGCCAATCTACGAATAAATAAAATAAGAATATTTAGGTGATTATAATTGAAAGAATTCTTAGGAGTCTGCTTCTGTTAATTTATATTTGTATAGTGACTTTGTAATTGACATGATTTCCAATGGAAACTTACATGCATCACATCCAATCCATTCTATATATATTATCTTTTAAAATCAAGTTTAAAACTATTTCTCTACGCTAAATAAATTATCTTTACGGAGGCAGTAAATCAGTTAAAAATAAAGCCAAGCAGAAAAGTTCTTCCTTCTGGTTTGCAGGACTAAGGACAAATTTATAATTTTCAGCAAATAATAAAAGGCAGTCATGAGAGATTTAAATTGAACACCAAACTTGAAACCCCAGCAGTACACAATAAAATCTGTATTTGAAGCCGTGACTTCTACTAGTATGGTACAATGCAACAGAGGGGTTGTAGCTACACATTTTGAGTGTATATTATTGGTTCTCAATTGCTCAAAAAGAAAGGGTGTGGCTTTTTTAGTGATGCAGCTTCTAATACAGTTTTTGCTGTGTTTTATATTTAGAATCACTGTTTTTAGTCGCATTATATTGTCATGATTTGTTTTTAATATGTCTTATTCACTTCAGTCTTTGACAACATCTGTTTATACGTGTTGGGGACGAGACGTCTATTAAAACAGATATGCATTAAAAATAAGACCCATTGAATGTCAAATAATTTTTTTCAACCCACAAATCTATTTGATTTTTGTTTAAATAGATGTAGCCGGTCGTTGGCAATGACATTGTTTGTCATGCTCTAAATGACACAGCTGTGACAGGGGTCGAAATACTCTGGTGCACACTGCACTATGCACATAGATTATTAGCTAGTGCATGTAAACTCAAAATATAATGTGCACGCTGTGCATGTAGAAATTAACACAACATTTTCTCATTATATTCACTAAGCCTTAATTAAGTTCAACTAACATTGTAAGACAACTGAAAAAAAAGCAAATTCGTTTGTGATTGCGTCAATCGAGAATCCGTAAATTTTATTTAAACTTTAAAAGTGGTGCATTTCACAACAAGTTAGTGCAGGTAAATTTCAAATATAATATGCACACTGTGCATGCAGAAAACAAATTATATTTCAATCCCTGTGTGATTAAACTGCCGACTCACAGATGAAAATAAATTGCTATAAAAAAAAAAAAACTCGAGGGCAATGGCTGAAAAAAATAAACAAAATATTTTTTTCCCTCACTTAGTTTAGTGCTAATGTTTGTTTCATGACGAATCTGCTGTAGTGTTTTTGTTTTCACTGTGAAATTTTTTTTGAAGATTTATGCGTGCAAATTTTTTTTTCATTACTTTATTCTGTTCCAATTTGTTACCTTCTAATTCTGTCCCCCCCAAGTTTCTATTGATCCACCCCTTAGCAACTAACACTAACAATTTGAGTAGAGAAGATTTATTTCAATATGAAAACAGTAGTCCATCTAACATATGGTGGTAATCACACAAATCAATAATCAAAGAGCCGTTGATGAGCTGTAAAACCATCTGTATTTTGTATTCAAACATTTTTCAATAAAAAAACAACATAAGGTAAGAATGATAATTGGTGCTTTGCATTGATAATTATTATACATTCCAGTAAAATATCTTCATGTTTCTATTTTAACGACGTTCGATTTAGGTCACTAGAATCATTAGTCTGTTTTTTTAACTCCTATTTCTGATCCTAAAACACAGGTATTAAAACACAACAACAAATCTCGCTTGGCTCATCGTCGATTTGATTTCTTACTACGTGTAACTCACCCCAGGCATTGTAGACTTGTTTATGATCGTCAATAAAGCAATAACAAATCCTTCCCTCCCATATCGACATTAGAAGTCGAGGATAATAAAAAACACGAGCATGACAAAGATACTGTATCAGACAACCAGACACACACACACATTCAGTTCAATTTTGTTCGAATAACAAGACATGGCGAATATTTTCTTATTTTTAGAGCATTTTGAGGTTACATTGTTTGAACAATTTTGGAAGATTCCATTTCCATAATAGGTGTGATTTCATGATGTACTGTATAAATGGTGAGATCGGAAATTGATCAAGAATTTTCTGTCCATAGAATAGATTAGAAAATGTTATATTTCTTGATTCACCTGTTCTTAGCAAGATAGAGCATGATCCCTGCTAAAATCTTCCTGTCTGGGATAGGTGGACAGGCTTTAAATAATTAATTTAATTTCAACCCCAGTATATAATATATATATATATACAACATACATGTACATACAGGTTTATACCTGTATATGGTGTTCGTTTGCAAATTTTACATGTAAATGTATAAATATAGTATAAACATGCCTACACATGATTTAAGAGAAATGCTCCCCCATGGTTGGCACGCTATTCTGCATTTAATAATATCCTCATTCAATAAGATATGAGCCTAGTACGATATGATTCTCAATCATATGCTCTATTTCACAATAGCTCTGTCAAATGTTCAAGTTGTAAAAATACATTTAACATTTATCCGGCCAGATACGTGTACTTTTATAATTACTAGATCAGATAAGGGTGAAATCAATAAATTCAGTTATGAAATATTCCAGTGCTCAAAGAATAAGGTCTCTTAAAGTGATGTGCTTTGATCCCTGGGATTGAAACGTGAAATAATGGGATATCAATTCAGGCTTTTCACATTACTAAATAAATTAATTATTTGCCAGTTAGTAGCACTTCTCAAATAGAAGCACACGTAAACCAAATATTTTGTTTATTGTATACTGGCTTTTTTAAATATAACTTCTTTTCACCATAGACACATCTCTGCCATATACTTAAAAGCGGAGGAGTCGTCACCTGCACCATAGTGTGTCGTTGTTCACAAATAAACAAATACCCATGAGCCTTTGCAATTTTAGTATGTGATATCACTTAGAACTCAATTCCCACGCATGTGCAGGTGATGACCCCTCCCTTTTGAATAATCATATGCGCTACTAATAGAGCAAATATAGTATTGAAATAATCTGTCTTTTATTGTAATTGTTAATCAGCAAGTGGATTTTCAGAGGGATTCAGAATATAACACTAAATGATGTCAACAAAACCATGTTTATTATGAAGTAGAAACAGAAATATTTGTAAAATCAACGGGCGAGTAAAATCACATATACGAGTATGCAGTGACTTTGGCTCATCTAATTGCCGTCTGATTGAAGCACAAACCTTAGCCAATCAAATCATTTGGATTTAAATGAGACCGATTTCAAATAAAAATTTAAAGATTTGATGATAAGATGATATGTCTATGATTGCCCACTTATTCAAATTAAAGGATTTCCTGATTAGATGACACTGACCTTACATTGACCTTACATTGACCATGGATTCACTATGATGTCACAACACTATAGCAGGATTGGAATTCTAACAGCCATATCGATTTTATAAAATGTTATATTTATAAAACATTAATTACATCCACATGCCATTTACAGTGTGTGTATTTATTTTATTGTCAGTGACTTCCAAATCGTATTTCCTTTGTTTCTGTTCTTTTCAACTGTATTACAATTTAAAGAACTTTTTGTATATTTTTATAATTGGTGATGATATAAAATTACCTCCTGACCTCAATTGTTGACATTTTCTAATTTGTCATTGTTTACTATATTCAATTAATTGTTTGTTTTTAAAAAATATTAAAAGTAAGTAAGTACTAATATGACTGCAGATATTATTTATTTTCAATAATGTTTTTTTTTTCATGTATTTTTAAACTGTAGATCTTGTTTTCTAATGTATACATTTAACTATAGACCCTAGGGTCGATGGTTTAACTAGTATTGACGTTCCAATGACTGTTCTCCGGCACGTAACGCTTACGTGACAGCCGTCAGTTTAAGTCTGTGAAACAGACATCATGCGATGTTTCATGGAAATACACAAATGGGACCCCATATCTAGCTGCGACGATAGAGCTAACGATGGACAACAGTCGTAGTTATACAATCGTGATAATTACCTATTTTCACTTACCTTGAATATCATTTGCTAACTGCCTCCACGTCGGGGCAAAGCGAATGCAATGTCCACACCAACTCGAGTAGAACTCGATGATCCAAGCATTAGGCTTGTTGTAAATTAATTCGCGTATATTTTCTGAATCGAGAACAGTTATATGATGACTACTGTTGTAAAAGGGCGATTCAATAATTGATTTTGATAGTGTTTGGTTTAACACGGAATTTAACAGAAATAAAAACAGCACTATTGACAGCATGGACATGTTATGAAAATCCGCCATTTCTGAACTCCTCAAGTTTTATAATAAAGACATCGGACGTGGCATGGGCTCCCCTAGTTTGTTCGCAAGCCGTGCGGCTAGCCTGGAGGTCAAAGGGAGGTCATCTAAGGTCAGTCAACTTAAGATCTCGTATACCGACACTAGGACAACTCGGTGTTTTTCAGGGGTCGACTATTTGAAATGATGGGAGGCTTGTCTGACTATACTTATTTTCTCGTAATTTTAAAGATGTTACTATAATATTTGAGATGTGTATTGTTTTAACGATCTTTAGATTTACATATGAAGGGCCGGTGGTGTAAATTATGGTGAAACAAAAAAACAAAACAAAAACTCTCACACTCACACATAAAACTGCAAGCTTGTTGACTGAATATGGAGGGGGAGGCTAGCTGGTACAGGTTACAGGAAATAAAAAAAAAGGCATTTTATGTTTTTACAGGAAATAAAATGAAAGTTCCATTTACAGTAAAAAAAAATAGCTTTTTACACTTTACATTTTTATAATAATATATTTGATAATTTGTCAC